TGGACATTGTGGACCGATACATCTAGAGCACACTGGATTGAGGAAGGGTGAAGCTGTGTATATTAGGGATACATATGACATTTTTGGGTCCTGGCAATAGGTTCCATTGTTCAACTTCCAGACTTTCCCTGTGGAAAGAAGATTGAAAGAACTGCAGATTTGGAGATCCCCACGCCACCGCAAATGAATCTATGAATTAACTTACACACATGAAACCACGCATAATAGCTGCACTATAGTCACTTCCTGACTCCTAAATTAGAATGGCATTTACAGTATTTATAGATTTTTCTTTCATTAAGTAGCTACCACTACCCTGTTGTTCACCATCAATCATTACGTTTTCCTACTGTGAGAGCAAAATTAAAATAAATACTTGAATATGTGCTAACAGGTAATGTGTTTAGGATACAAATTAAAGATTTTCATCTATGGTCCAAGTAACCTTTCACACACATATAAGAAGTAGGCATGTGCAATTACATTTTGTTTTGTAGTATTGACAGGCCCTGCTCATCTGACAACAAAGTCCATTTATTGAGAATTGCAGCAATGAAAACCACAAAGAAAAGCCTCAGATCCACCCACAGTTCTTTTCATTCAGAAGTGTATGCAGCCCCCATAAGGTCTATGGTTCAGCCCATGGAGATTTCAAAAGGTAACAGAAGAAGAAAAATGCTAAATGCATGGCTTAAGAGTAGTCAAACGAATTATAAGTTTCATTAGAATTTAAATGTAATGAAATTTACTTTTTGTTTTTGCCTCTTCCAGTATTTTTTTTTGGCCACATAAATGGTTGCAGACACCTGCCTTACATGCCTCTAAACATGCTGACAAAATATTGGGATGTTTTTGCTAGAGAGGCCAGCATTCAAACAACAGCTATACAAAGGGAACATTTGTATCTGTAACTGGTCCTGCTCATACCCTCACCTAAAATTCTACTTTTACACTAAACACCAAAAGGATATGCAAAGATTGCTAATTTAAACGCCTATGAATTGTATTTTTCAATGAAGATTTTGCAACAATCTTTTGGATTTATTTTTAGTTTTAAAAAGAACAAATGACCATTGATTATTAAGTCTAGCATACAAGAAAGTAGCTGATCCATTTTTTCAGTCATGCCTAATGCTCCCTCTAGTGTTTAGTTTTCAATGCAAAATGACAAGGCAAGGGAATGGTGGGGGCAGCAGAGAAAAAGACATGAGAGTTTAATAAGCAAAAGGCCCATTAATAGGATTAAGTTAGTGCCTGTCACTAGATAAATAGTTCATGGCAAAATCTGTGATGTTCATAGGAATTAAGAATTAATTAACAACTGGATATCACAGTGATTTACCTTGCAAACAAATTACTAACAGTTTCTTAACATTTATTTACTTGTGTTTCTTCTAAGAATAACAGAGAATTAAAGCTCATGGTGATTTCATTAGGGTGCTAGCAACCAAAAGTAGGCTATGGACTTAGGGCTTTGTGTATGGAATCTGTACTGCGTATCCACTGTCGATATCAGTGTCCTGTTTTTCTCAGCTTTCACTTAAAATTAAGCAAGTTTCTAGTTCTCATGGTTCCTTAGAAAAATAAGAGCCCTATCTGTTAAACATTCGGGAATCAGAGGGTATCCTGGACATGAATGACTTCTGTGGATCATGTTATCGAATCTCAGTGATCTCTACAGTGTCCTTTCCTTTTCCTATCAAAGTCCTGCTTCACGCGATGCCTCCATCTCCTCTGTTTTTGGCCTTTGTCTGCAGACATTTGCTCTATTTCTTTTTCAAGCCCTACGTTTAGGTTGTTGGAAAGTCCAGAATGGTGGATCTAGTAATGCAGATGTGTATAATTAGCAGAACTTATTCTGACCGCAGAGTTCATAATGCAATAAGTTTAGGATCAGCATATATGAAAAATGAATTCCATATAATAGATCATTGAAGGTGGATCATAAAATATACCTTAACTATGTGATATGGAAATTAACTTCTATTTTTATTGTATGGTCATTCCTTACTGTACAAAAATAGTTAAGCAATAACTGCATTACCATAATTTTCTATTTACACTGTCTTTGATATATATGATAACTTATAGAGTATGAAAAGTAAAACAACTATTCCACTTTTCTACTTAAAATTTAAGAGCAAATGCAGCTACATTTGCTTCATTTTAGCTAAGAAAGAGGAACTGCAGATTTGGGGCCTGGTAAAATTAAAATTGAAGCTGCCTAGAGTCACCCTCTGGGGGAGATCGGTGGCATATAAATTTAATAATAAATAAATAAATAAAAATAAATTAGGACAGCATACAGCCTGCTCTTTTCTGAACCTAATATAATCTAAATCTAACCTGTTCTTCTGTTAATAAATTCCCCTCAATCGTCCAGTCCTCAATTCTAACCAAGGGTTTTTAGCATGCATCTTGGCCAATATATCTCGGAAGCCTATAGGTCTATAATTTTTGGGATCCCCCTTATTACCCTTTTTATAAACACGGACTGCGATGGAAAGTTCCCATTCTTTTGGAATGCAACCAGTATTATTTATGTAGGAGTACAGCCCCACTAGTAGTGGTGAAGGCATAGTGGATATGTGTCTTAAAGAGTTCTGGTGGAAGAAAATCTTCACCAGGTGCCTTATTAGATTTTAGTGACCGAATATTATAATATGCTTCTGACACTGGAGGCCATGGAGGAACCTTATCAAGTGTAGGATTCTGCATAGAACTCTGATTGGATCTGCAAACAGATTGGCATAAAAATTCTCCCATTAAGAAGCTGAAATAGGGATATCAAAGAAGAACTCATGTTCTTTCAATATACCAGATACAGAATTCCAGAATATTGCTGAATTAGGTCCACTCGCATTTTCAGTTCAGACAAAATTGTGCCTGTAGAATGGGCTTTCTTAGCAGCTATTACATTTCCTTAAGCATATTGAGATAACTATTTATGGTAGGATGTCTGAGTCAATAGCATACCCACCCTTAGTTTATTTCTCAAACCGACACAATCAGGATCAAACCATTTAAATTTTATAAACTGGCTGTTCCTGGCTGGCAATTTATTTATTAGAAAATTCCTTAGCATAGTACACAAATTAATGTGCACTATAAGAATTTAATTGGGCTTTTCCATGGGCAAAGAAATTCTGTTTGCTCATACCTGGTCCTGCTTGGAATTCAAAAACCTAGAGTATTCTAGTATCCAACTTAGACCATTTGAGTCTTCTGTCAACAAAACCTTGTCTAAATGAGAATCGCCATTTTGCCAAGGCATCCAAACAGTTTTAGAGTTAAACCAAAGAATCTCTACAGTTTGTCCAGGAAATCCTCAATATGGTTAATTTTCTTAATTATGCCTTGACTTTCTTTTACTGCCCTACTACAATAAATACAGGATTCTAGCCTATATCAGTGACTGTAAATGTGGAATCATGATATACTTATTTTAATATTTTCTGGTTATAATATGACTGTTATATTCTGTAGATCAAATATAAAATCTGTTCTTGAAATAAGAAAAGCTCTTGGTGGCCATAAGTCCCTCTCCAATGTACCATGGATTTCATTACTTTAATATTATCAAATTTATTATTTTTAACTGGAAATCTGATTTTTAAATGGTCTGTGGCATCTGATAAGGAATCTATGGTGAATTTAACATACATATATGCAATGATCACTTTCATAAAAGAAAATCATATATATCCTGGATATATTTCACAACATGTGACAATAAAAAAAATTGTGTACTTTGCTGTGCAATATGCCACTGGAAATTGCAGCTGCTGAGAAGATTATCGTGTATAGTTGAATATGTAGCCAGATTACATACTGGCTAATCTGGTTTATTTTACCTTTTAAATTGTACTTTTGAATTCAAAGAAGATTCTCTAATGTTCTTTGAAAGGGTGAAACCCAATAATTATTCAAATAAAAATACGTGCACTTTTTCTGAATTGGAATTCGTTTAGAAGTTAATGATTAACACTAAATACCTAAGAAGTTCTATCTGGTCCACTTCTCTTCCTACAATGGGCAATCATAGAAGCCCACAAAAAGCACACAAATGCAACAGCATACTCCTGTTTGTATTTCTACAAGCTTGTATTTCTAAGTATCTGAGACTGAGAAACATTCTGTCTCTATTACTGGAAGAAATATAAAACCATCATGATTTGTACTCAATGGGAGAACCTCAGGATGGCCACTTACACGCTGCCCCCCCCCGAAAAAGAGAAAATGCAACATAAAAAAGACAAAATAACACAATAGGTAGCAATGTCTGAGTCAGGTCATGGCACCTGGGTCTAACTACCATATTATTCTTCCAGCAGATGTGAATAGCAACTTAATGACAGAAAATATGCAGTGTTGCTATTGTGTAAGGTCTGCTTCATGTATACTGTACTGCTTCTCTAAGAGCAATTAAAATGAGATTTAAAAAGTAGGCCGGGCTAGGGACAGATTAAAATTGGCTCAGAATAGATTGGTGTTTTGGTGCCAACAACGGCTCATCTTTTAAATGGTATTAGTATCGAGTTTAATCTACGTGTACCAAGGAGGTAACAGTAAATTTGTAGGCGTGCAACTTAACCAGATTCGGACCTTGGATGGAAAACACATCTTTCCGTTCTAGACTTGTAGAAGTACAAAACACTTTAGAATACATCCCGGAGGTTGGGAATTAAAATAGCCGAAAAGCAGCAGCTGCCACAAACCTCTTAGCTTGAAAATGCAATCAGCAAACTGAATCAATTGGGATATCCTGGAAAACAGCACTCTGCCACACTCACTAATTTTTGTGTAAGAAGAGCAAACAAGGCGCTTCCTTCCGGGTGAGACTTTTTCCACACCTCCTCCAACGTGGGAGGGGAGAGGAAGCATGTGGCACTCAAACTCTCTACTAACAACAGTAGATGGAACTGCAACTCGGAGGAACTGGCAGCTCAGCCAATAAGCCAATCCAGGCTCGGGGCAAACGCACTCCTTGGCTTCTCCTACTGGCTCAGCGGAAAATGGGCGGGGAACGCGCCAATTTTAACGCTAGAATCTCGTCCCGCCAAGGAAGGAGAACCGAAGGAAGTCTTTGTCGCCCTGCTAACTCGCAATGCCGGCTGATCTGAGCGTGCAGGAGAACCCTGCGCCGCCCCAGGAAAAGCCCCTCGCCGCCTCTGGCTCCTGCCCATGCCATGGAGAGGTTCAGTATCTCCAGCAAGTCGAGCAGATCCTGCGGTTCGGACACAAAAAGGAGGATCGGACCGGGACGGGGACGCTGTCCATCTTCGGGATGCAGGCGCGGTACAACCTCCGAGGTGAAGTTCGGGCCCCTCCTTCAGCTCCGTGCGCGTGTTTTCGTTTGAGGAACTCGGGGGTGGCGGGAATCCGCTGCCGGCTCTGCAGCCTTGGCGCTGGGCGTAGCGCCTCTCCGTTCTCAAAAAGGGTGAAATCTTCAAGTCCCTTCCCGGTGGCTTTACGGGCACCGAATTCGAGTCGGATCATAATATAATAAAATAACAATACGCATTAAAAAGGAAGCCCCCGGCCGCTTTATAGTCCGTGGCGCGAGGAAGAAGGAAACGGGGACGGTCAAAAGCAGAAGGGATAGTGAGGAGGCAACAGATTTCCGATTAAACTGAAAATCGAGGGACCGAGCCCATCTCGCTCTCCCGGCTCCAGTATCGATCTTCAACTCGTAGCTCACGGTTCCGGTTCCGCGTAATTTGGCGCGAACCCATCAGGACCGAGGTCCTTCGCGTAGGGGCACTAAGCTGAGCTGGTCTCAAGACGGGAGTGATGGGGAAAGAGCAGCGATCCCCAACTGACACCCCCTAAATTTGTTTAGTTATTTATCAGATTTGTACCCCGCCTTTTCTTTGGCGGGGGTTACAACTCAAGGCAGTGCGCCTTTCTTATATTCCCCTCACAGCAACAGCCCTGCGAGGTAGGCTATGCGGAGAGAGTAGCTGGTCCAAGGTCATCCCGTGCCCAAGGGCTCCAGCTCCCATTACTATATCAGCTCTTTGAGGTAGTCCAGACAAGAAACCAAAGCCATGAGTACTAACACTACCTTTACTGTAAGGTTACAATAACAATCATGCAAGGCTGAAAGCACTTCTCCCCTCTCTTGCCTTTACTTTCCAGAGAATTAGGGAGGGTCCCTTCTGAGAGCTTTCTCTGTCCCCATTCCTTCTGTGGGTTGAGATTTCTTGTCTGACCTGGGGCTAGCTGGGGCTCCTCTTGTCTGCCAAGGTCATTCTCACAGCCCCTTACATACTGCCATCCAGTTGGGAGTTAGTTCTGCACATCAGGGAGTTGCCAGGTTGGAGAAGGCTCAATTTTACTGACCCAATAAATTAAAATAATATTTTGCCATTCCCTTCATCCTCAGAATCTTTTCACTGGCATTCTTTGGAGGTAAAAGTAGGTAGCAACAAGTTTTGGAAATTACCTTTCCTTCCTTTCTGTAAGAAAAGCGTATTTTGATGGTTTACTTCACTAGGTACTGTACTTTTTCTCTTTCCTTCCCCCAATATAATAAAAAAATCTTTAGAAAATCCTCTGGGTCTACTAGTAATGTAGGACTAGCAGATCTGGACTGCAGTGTTCTTGGTGACCATAAGCTGGCAGCAAAGAAACAACCCTTTCAAACTCTTTCCTTCTATCTAGTAACCTCTGGATTTTGCATCCTGGATTCTATGTAATAAAAAAATCAAATTCTGAATACTAAATTTTAGTATTCCAATATTATGAATTGACTAAATATTTATCTGGATTATGTTTCATGGCTGTGAATTGTGTACTAATTAACTTTAGAAGATGTTCAGTTAGTATACAACCCCATATCTCCTCTAATGTTTTTTCACCTTTCTTTCAGATGATTTTCCATTGCTAACAACCAAAAGAGTATTCTGGAAGGGAGTACTTGAAGAACTACTTTGGTTTATCAAGGTATAATGCATAGTAAATAATATGTTCGTTTCAGTCAAACTTTGATTAGACCCATTGAAATCAATGGAAATTAAGTTTTATTCTAAGTATGAATAATAGTGCAATCCTAATTCAGCAATAAGTTACTCGGAGAGGATAGAGATGAGGCATAAGTTGTTCCTTCTACTGGAAGGCAGCAGAGTTTTGTGGACAGAAGAGTCCTGGACAAGATGTGTCAGCCTGTAAACCACAAAAGGAGTGGTACAAGAGAGGAGCTAATTATTCCACATCATCAGCAACAAATCTTTGTTACAGCCTTTAGACCAGAAAACACTACACAGAAGTACATACACCTAAAATTATTGATAAGATTAAAAAGTAAGCTTACATTAAAATTAATAATAATACAAACATCGGTGCAGATGACCAAGATTAGAGCTAAACTTCAGACATAGGTGGGACAAATTATTTTGTGGCACAAAACTAGGTAATCTGAAAAGATACATCAGAGCCCTGGTTGGATAGAAGTGCACGATAAGTATCATGTTCTCTACCAGGGTAATTCTTTAAAATAGGATATATGCATGTCTCACCATCTCCAAAAGAGAAACATACTTTGGACTTCTGGGGGAGGTATGGTGAACTGAAGACAGCTCTGCAGAACTGGAGCTGACAGCTGCGACAAAGAGCCAAGGAATCCTTGAGTAGACCAGTTCCTTGGAACCTTTCCGGATACGGAGAGAACCGTAGATCGCCCACGTGCTCTGGATGGCTGCTCCTTGTGTAGAGATTGCAGGACAGCAGATTTCAGCACCAGGCGATAATGGGATTAGCCATCTTGCTCACAACTGTAGTGGAGACTTTTAAAGAACACAGAAGAGTAACATACTTCAAACGCCTTTCATTGTTCTCTGAAGATCTCACTGCACTAACTTTTCTAATTTCCCTCTGCCCTGAGAAAAGTAGACTCTGAAAGAACTTCAGTGTTACCCTGGTTAAAAATGTATTGCATCTTAATGTATTCTAGCACTTAACTATTAAAACTTAGAATAAGCTAATGCAGTGTATTGAATCTTACTAAATGTTATGAATATAACAAGGTATGAAACCTAAAAGAGGGTTTACCTCTTTTTCTTTCAAATCAATTTTAGTTGTTTTTCCCTGTAGTATTACAGGATTTAGAATTATTGCATTTGTTGTACATTCCTAAAGTAGTACAATTAAAGAATTGCAAAATATAATGTATACAAAATAATCAAACAATTAACAAGAGAAATCACATTTTAATTAAATTCAGTAAACCTTGTAGAATAAGAAAAATATGAAATTGACCTGCCAAGGAAATGTACTTTGCAGCTTTGCAATTACAACTGAAATGTTTCTTGTTTACAGTAATTATAAGCACCTGCAAAGATGGAATATATATAGAAAGCAACATTAGATTATCTGAGTATTGAAACTGGTATTCAGACTATCTGCTGCTTTACTGAATTGTCACTGGCAGCAACTGGAATTCTAATGGTGGCAAATATTGGTTCATCACTTAATGCTGGGAGATGTTTTCTTCCCAAAGCATTTGGGAGTATTAGAACATGATATTGACCTTTACAAATTTAAGAAATTACAATAAGTCTAAAGAGTTTTGTGCTGATAAATGCTGATAAATGATTTCTTTCTCATTACACACAGGGTTCTACAAATGCAAAAGAGCTTTCTGCTAAGGGAGTTAAGATTTGGGATGCCAATGGTTCTCGGGAATTCTTAGACAAACAGGGTTTTTTTTCTAGAGAGGAAGGAGACCTAGGTCCTGTTTATGGCTTCCAATGGAGACATTTTGGAGCTGAGTACAAAGATATGAATACTGGTAAGGGTGGCTAAATACTTGGTTTCCTTTTCAAGTATCCATAAAAATATGGTACTCTAGGATACTAAAGATGTAATTATTAAAACTGGTTTGATTCCAAAAAGGTACAGGTAGTCCTTGCTTAATGACCCTAATTGGGACTGGCAACTCCACTGCTAAGTGAAGTGTTCGCTAAGTGGGAAATCATGTGACCGTGACTGCTTTCCTCCTGGAAAGAGACAAGACTACTCAGTTTCACACATTCAGCTTTTGTTTGCCTCCTGACCACTCCGCCACCCTTTGGAATGCTCAGGGCTGGGAGCCACAGGCACAAGGCAACCCAAGCAGCTTACTCTTGAAATCCCTTTCTCTCCACTCTGCGATGAGGGGAGGAAAAAAACATGCGAATTTTGTAGGCAATCTCTCCTTTGCCTGACCCTTTCCAGCTGCTGGTGCAATCGCATTGCTTTTGATGTGTAGAAGAGCAAACAGCTTACTCTCTTGAAATCCCTCTCCAATCTCTCCGCTCTGCAAGGGGAGGGGGACAGAAGAGTCAGGCAAAAAAGAGATTACCTACAGAAATTGCTTTTTTCCTCCCTCCCCCTTTGCAGAGTGGAGAGATTGGAAAGAAAGATTGCAAGAGAGTATTGGAATCTCTGCGTAGCGTGCCTGTGGCTCCCAGCCCTGGGCTGCTGGCATGATCACATTGCTTTCGATGTATAGGAGAGCAAGCAGCTTATTTTGCAATCCCTTTCTTTCCAATCAATCTGTTCTGCAAAGGGGTTAGGGTCAGAAAAGCACAAGTCAGGCACAGGACCACACGTGCTGACTAATGGTGATCATGTGACTGACAGATGCTTCGAAGATTGTAAATGGGCCATAAAGTTATTTTTTCAGCACTGTCATAACTTCGAATGGTCACTCAATGAATGGTCAGTAAGTGAGGACTATCTCTACTTAGCATATGGGGCATGAAAAGACTTTAACACTTTAAAGTGTTGCAAAAAGGTGCTACGTATTTGCTCCCGTGTCCCAAACATTTTTGGAATTAAATCTGATTCCTAGTAATTATACAGTAATGCCTTCATGTTACATTGTTAAGCAAATTTCTTAAGAAGGTTTGAATAAAGCTGTTATTGGAAATAATGGATTTTTAAAAAGATAACTTTTGTAATTTTAGTAGTTGTATAAATAATACATATATGTATTGCTGGTCCTATCCCATTTAACCTAAACTATGCTATCTACTGTTAATAAGCACTTTGATCAATATAGAGTAGGTAAATGTAAATAAAAGCTCAAATTTCCCCTAGAATTAAAGTGGATTTATACTATCACCAGTTATTAAATGGCTCACATGTCTGCCCTTCTAATCAGATGACATCAGAAAAATATATTTTATATTCTGTCTTCCAGTCTTGGCTGTGACTGATGCTTCCTGTGTGGTTTATTTAGTAGACATTTCCAGAAGGAACTTGCAGTTCTTAAATACTGTTGTCTTTAGCGGAACAATCTCATAATAAGTGACCTAAACAGCTATTAAGAGTGAGACTACTTCATGTGTTTAAAACTATTATAAATAAGATGAGCTTCACTTTTTTTTTTGTAGATTACACAGGACAAGGAGTAGACCAACTACAGCAAGTAATTGATACAATCAGAAACAATCCAGATAGCAGAAGAATTATAATGTGTGCATGGAATCCTAAAGGTATAGTATGACATTTAATACTGAGTCATTGAAGATTGTAGTTATCCATGATAACCCCTTTGTTTAGAAAAGGTAATTGCAGTCTTAGAAAACAAAGCTATCCAGGATGATTGCATGAGTGGAATTCTTCTCTTGGGCTATTTTTTTCAGAATGTGTTTGTTTTTTGTGTTTACTTTTCAGATATCTCTGTAATGGCCTTACCTCCATGTCATGCTCTCTGCCAGTTTTACGTTTTAAATGGTGAACTCTCTTGTCAGTTGTATCAACGTTCTGGAGATATGGGGCTGGGAGTACCGTTCAACATAGCTAGTTACTCACTTCTTACTTCAATGATTGCCCATGTTACAGGCTTGAAGGTATCTCTATCTTTTAAACTATTTTCATGGGAAATAAGGAGAAACACAAACAAACAAATCTCAGGTTGAACCCAGTTTGGCAAGGAGTAGAATTCTACCAATAATTTTTCAGATAGACAGTGGGAGAGAGGTGACCCCACAATTCTGGCAGCACTCTGTACTGCTCTGAAGAGCGAGGGCTTGCTTAACAGCATCAGCAGATGTTCTAGTATTTCTACTTGAAAAATGTTAGCATGAGAAAGTTGTATAGCTGTTAGAACTCAATTTCTTATGCTTGCTGTAAGAGACATGACATTTGTAATGAGTACAGTTTTGTACGATGTATTTATGGATGATTGGGTGCAGATCACCTCCTACGCTTTCTTGAAAGCTGTTTCTGTGCTGTGACTGAGGCCATTTAATGGTAGACACAATCATTCTAGTTACTTAATGGTGATATCCCAATGGTGAACTCTTGCCTCAGTTGGGAAGAACGTATATACTAGGGCTTTAGTGCTGGTGAGATGCAGAAGGATTCTGGTTCTCCTTCATGGAGATGTATAAAGATGAGTGGTATGGGAGGAAAAAGCCCTGTTGGCATTACTGAAACATCTATATCAGGGCAGAATTACATTATATATCTTATAAACTTTTTTGCTTATCTGCAAAATTCATTGCACCATTAGAATAACCAAAATAACAGCAGTAACTGCACAACAAATACTGATGGACTGAGGAAGTGGGAAAAATGAAGATTTATGGGTTCATCTTGTTCCATATATATACATTCAAACTTGATTCAGAATAAGGAAGGTGTAGTCCTTATCTACTAGGAATTTATGTAGTTGTTAAGGAGTTGGACATGGACTTTGGTGGTGCAGGTTTAAGTCCCCTCTCATCATGGAACATATTGGGTAACTAAAGCATTGTTTGAACAGAACAGGGATTGAATGAGACTGCCATGCTTTTCCAAGCAGTCAGGTAAGATCCCTTTAGGAGAGCTGTACTTGAATTCAAGAAAACATGAGCACAGCTCTACTTCAAACCTCCTGTTCAGTCACTTAAGAGGTTGGAAAGAGGGTTGCATGACTCTATTCTCTCTCCATGTGTTGAATAAATGCCTGGATGGGAATTCTCTCCCAGCCCAATGTACCTCACGTGGTTAATGCTGTGTAGGATAAAATGAGGGAAGACTCCATTTAAGCAACCTTGGAGAAAAGCCAGGATATAGATATGACAAAGAAATACTCTTAAAGAGTATGAACAATGTAGTGTATAGAGGAATACTTTCAATCATTACATTTAAGAAACAAAACTTGCTAGCAGCATGCTTATTTTTCTCTGTTTGTTCTTAATTCATACACTAAATTATTATTTTTTTTCATATAGCCTGGTGAGTTCATACATACATTAGGAGATGCTCATATATATTTAAACCATATTGAACCCTTGAAAATACAGGTAATTATGTCAACTGATTATTCTCATATTGTTATTTTAATAGCATTATAACCATTGTAACTATTGGATACTCCTGATTTCCATCAGGACCTGGATGAAGTGTAACTTTTAAATCTCTCAGTGGTGTTTGATACCATCAATAATTCATTGTAAAAGTTAGAGTGTTGTGGTTTTGCTTCTTCCTGAATTGAGAGTTTTGTTAACGTTAGTGAGGGAAAAGTGTTGAACCTATGGGCACTCCACTGTGGAGTACTGCAGAGTTCAGTGCTTTCTCCTATGTTGTTTAAATAGTGCTGCTGGAGGAGATAACACATGGGATGAGGAATCATCAATACATAGATAATACTCAGTTATATATCTCCATCCTGGGTTGGGTGGGAGATGCAGTGAATCTTCTGTCCTGGTGCCTGGAGGCTAGCAAGATCTGGGTGGGTCAGAGTAAGCAAAAGTTGACTCCCAACAAGACTGAATGCTTGCCCAGAAGTCCTTACATTCTCTGGTGGCCCCTTTTCTGTCTATGGATAGGTCTGTGCTACCTTTGAAGAAGTTTGCCTGTGACTTAGTGATCATCCTGGAAACATGGCTACTGCTAGAACAACAGGTGGAGTTGATGGCTCCATTTATGTCCCCATTACTTCATGACTGGATTACTACAATGTGCTGTCCTTGGCCCTGCCTTTGAAGACCACTTGAAAACTTCAGCTGTTGCAAAATGCAGTGGCTTACATACTGGCATGTGAAAGCCAATTTAATAGAGTAACATTTCTGTGGCTGCTGAATTGCTATTGGTACATTTTCAGATACAATTCAAGATGCTACTAATTGTATATAAAGCCCTACACAGTTTAGGTTCTAGATACCTGAGAGAGAGTCTTCTCCAAAGAAAAATTCCCCATCCTGTTTTAATGGCCAAGGAGGGAGATACTGCTTGAGAGATGGACATAGAAGCAAACCTATTCTGTGGTGACCCTGTCCCTATGGAATATGCTGTCCTGATATGCACTCATGGCCCCCACATTCCTCTCATGTTGTAGGGCCACAAAGCCCTGGCTTTTGGGTAGGGCATTTGGAGTATTGAACTGTGGTATAGGTTATATTTACACCTTAAAGATTGCTGTGATGCTTTGCAATTTATGCTATATCTATGTAGATGCTTCTATTGTTTATCATATTTATGTCACTGGCACCTTGGGAATGATGCAGATTATACATTTGAATACATTATACATTGCAGTGGATTTTGGATAGATCAAGCATTACTTAACTGAAATTCAGAAACTACTTTTTACTGTGATGTAAATGTTTCTGCAACTGTTGTCTGTCCAGACAAACATCTATCTGGCCAAACTTTGGAGTTTTTGAATTAGCCAGTATCTTGTAACTCTCCTGGGTCAAGCCATAATAGGTAGATAAACCTGCAACAAAGCAATTATTATTGGATACTCTAATGAAAGATTAGAACATGACACCCTTTAGATGACTTTGAATGCATTTCCCAGACTTTGTCATTAATGCCATAAATGGACAGTCATTCAAAATATCTGGTTGGCATCAGTTGCCTGTCCTTAACCTAATAAAATATTCATATAGGTAACACTCCAGGACAATGTAGCTCTGTTATACACACAAAAATGCTGTGTAGTATTTTAAACTAAATCTCACATTTACTAATAAAATGAACATATCTTCAATAAGCAGTCAATTCTACAATTAAGTGAGCCCTATACCATGTACTTTTTTTTTTTAATTTCAGCTTCAGAGGCAACCAAGACCTTTTCCCAAGCTCAAAATTCTTCGTAAAGTTGAAAACATCAATGACTTCAGAGCAGATGACTTTGAGATAGAAGATTATCATCCACACCCAGCTATTAAAATGGAAATGGCTGTCTAATGAACTTTTTCTGAGACTGTCTTAATGTTCAGCCTGGAGTTAATGCTTTTAAATATAATTAGCATTCAAATCATTCAAAAGGTCAAAAACATAGTTCCTCAGTTTTCATATGACGCTTGAATCTGAAGTAGACTGTTATAGATGCATCATGCACAGGGAATATAAAGGGTTTCTGTAGTTCTGAATTATCCAATGAATCATATGTGCTGTTATAAATGTTATCTGAAATCTTAAGGGAAAGATGTACTTCACCATTTTTTTAAGTTAACCTGGCAAAATTCCAGTAAGAACACTGTAGAATAGAAAATGCAACAAACATAGCTTGGGGGAATAGTAGTCAGCAATTTTTAAATGAAGTAGACTAATTGTATAAATGTTTTCAGAAATGGTTGAATCTATGCTAGAGAACTACCCAGAATATTAGTTTTACAAAGCTATCCCATATACACTTATGCAAAAGATTATCTGAGCTGTAAGATCTGGGGTAGGAATGAATGGTTCCTGTACTACCTAGCAGCTACATTTTTCTCTAAGGATCTATTCTCACTAGAGTGAAGGCAGATGAATCCTCTAGTCTTTTTCTTGCCTTTTATTAATCTGTTCTTTCTCCCCATTTATAATAAATATGCCTGGCACACCGAGTTAATTTATCCTATTTAACTAATATTGTCTCATGAATACTATAGCTATGACTAGCCTAGATCCTAGATATGTTGGCGATTAGCCAAGCCTTGAGGCAACTTGATTTTGGGAGATCCCAAAATGCTCTCTGTATCCTGAGATCTTCCATTATCAAAATACGTTCCCCAAGACTAACAGCTGGCTGTTGGCTGAGCCACAAACTCTGTGATTCTGTGCATTTCCCTGCAATTTGTAAGAAATGATCTTTAACTCATTTTCTGCTACAGACTGGCAGGACCTTAATCTCATCTGCATTTCCATTGTAAATTTAAACTAGACCTACATTTATTTTGAACTGTAAGAAAACACTGGAATGATGTGATGTCTATTGACACTTAATATCCTCACTAACACCTTCCCTTGGTACCTACCAGGTTCTGATTTATGTTAGGTATTTAAAAGAAATTTAGGCATCTGGCATACTATAAAACCCAAGTTCCAGCATTTTTTATTTACAGGAATGAGTGTGACCTCAACCTCAAATACAGTAACCTTATAAAGTAAGAATAATGGGGGTTATTTAGAACTCACTACTGTGGAAATTATAGATTTGGGTGACAGATAGGAAGAGCAATAGTGATGGGGGTGAAGCCCAATCTCACAAGTTTCCCATTCAGGAAATGGGTATTTCTGTTACTGATCACCCCACCAACCAGACCATGCCTTCCCATTTTGTGAAAGAATTCAAGTTACAAGTGTGCCCTCTAGCTTGAAATGTCATCTGTTGCAGATTTCCCCATTAGTATTCTCTAAAGAACTATTTTCTGATTAGAAGAGCAGATTGTTTTCACTTTTGTCTTCAAAAACTTGATGTCTGTTTTAATATCTGTACAACCTACCACTGCTGTCATCTACCCAAATTTGACCCAACTGCCGATTCTGTTAAGTTTTTACAGAATTTAAGTACTGTACCTAGATTCAGACTTTTGACTTGATCACGGTAAGGGAACAACCATCTTAGAAAACACATTGCATCATGACATGAAGTTAAACTATATTTGGAACATCTAAACTTGACAGATACATTTTAAAGTGCAATCTTCTATTACATAATCCTGTAGTTCTGGAATAGCTCAAAGACAGATGAATCATCTAGCTCCTTTAAACTTCGCTATTAAAAGCCTCCTATTTTTAAACTGATCAAGAACTTAAATTGGAAATACAATCTATTTTTGTTTTATGTGAGCAGAAGAAGCTTTCTAAAGGCACTCATTTGACTCTTACATCTCGGTATAGCATTAGTGTAAAAATAGCTGGGTTTTATCTTCATTTTGAAAAATTGGTATTTGAACTTATTTAAGTTACATTATGAAGACAAGAGTTTCTGCCAGACTTCTCCTTGTGGAAACAGGTATTTCTTTACAGAATCTTCTTTCATTTCTGAAGAGTATCCAGCTGCCTGAAAGAAACATTTTATATTGAAATAGATAAAAAACAGATGTCCTACTGGTATGTGCTCAGTATGGCTGGCATAATTTGATACATATTTTAATAATAATATGAACTAAATGCATTGTTGATTAAATTAGATTTAGCAACAATTCTTGGAAGCAATATAGAAGGGAATATTTAGTGTCTATATCTGCATTTTTGCTGCAAGATCAAGGGTGGGAGGCTTTTTTTTCCTCTAAAACCATTGCCTCATGTCAAGGCAAGGCTGAGAAAGTGACTGGTTCAAGTCACCCACTGTACTTGGTGAAATGGAGGGCTTCAACCTCCCACTTGCTTCAAGGTAGCTGAAAGTATTTCAGTAACTGATTTATAAACATTAGAAGGCCAAATATCTTGGGTGCACCAAGCCCATTTGAACATGCTTTAGGAAACAGACTGACACAAAATGGTAGAAAGTGTCTTGAGTATTGTTTGTGGAATAGCAGAATTGGAACGCTAAGTAACATTTCGATCTGAATCTTGTTGCCTTTAGCTCTCCATATAAAAACTCTTATGGTGAGACCACTGAAAATATTTTGAATATGTGAATGCAAACAGTACCTGGGGTGGCATATAAGATGCATTCATGATTACTGCAGGCTGCTTGAAGTGTTCATGTAGATGGTCTACATATTCACACATCCTAAAAAGAAAGTGAAGTACCATATTTACAATTTGAACAACCTTGCACCGATTACAGATTGCTACTCCATCTACAAAAATATGCAGATGGACAATGGAACTCACCAAGGCTGAGGAGACTCAATCCTGTTTCCATTTTAAAGACACTTTCTCAAGTTATACAAAGAATAGAGCTTTATTCTGGGCCTTCTCTAATCAGAAATTAATTTTTGTTGCTTGATCAAAGCTATACACAGATACCTGCTTCAAGTGTTTCAAGTGAAGCTTCTTAGAGGATACATAGCAAGGGGAAAGAAACAAGATATCTTACCTGTTTTCAAGGCTGCCAGATACTGAAATGTAGTCAAATATTATCAAGTGCTGGACCAATTCACAAAGGCCAACACCTCCTGCATGAGGACATACTGGAACTGGGAAAAAAATAATGCAACATTTATTGGTATTTTTCCCCCCCAAATCCCTGCCCAGACTGGATGATCCTTTCCAACTGGCTGTCTATACATGAGATTACAATTTCCATTTTTCATCTGCTTGCGCTATCTAGATTGGAGCTGGAGTTCAACATCTGGAAAGCCACATGTTCATTACTGCTGTAGAAATATGTAATTTGTTTTGACCCATGTTTCACACCTCTGTGATTCTTGCTTTTAAGCCAGACTTCTGAATAAAGCCAAACTCAAAATAACTCTACTTCAGCTATAAAGAATTATATAACATAAGGCTTTTTGTGTGTCACCGTATTTTTAACATTTCTATCCTTTCTGTTTTCAGTGCTATTGCAGCATTTCCAGGAGTCTCACTTTGAAACTTCTTGGCCATCAGCAATACAGACAAATTTTCATTGACACTTCCAAGCCTACAACTGTCCACCTGGACGTAGCTCAGGGCCTGGGCCTGTAGGAGTTGCTTAAACATCACTCTGTTATGGCACTGCAGATAATGAAAACAAGCATTCTTTAATTCAAAATACTGCATGATTAGAAAATGCTTATAAAAACGTCTGAAAAATCCACGTAACTTAGAGCATTTTATTCTTGAGATTTCCCTTTATGTTCCCAAAACTTACAAAATAGTAAAACCACTACAGATCTCCCCAATATCAGGACTTTGAATGGGATGGACAGTGATAGCTTTCCCTCTCTAACAGTGTACTATTCCATAAAACCAGATAGTTATACAATAGCATGCAGACATACCGCTGGTTAAAAGAGTCCATGTAAAAGAGTCATTTTGAGTTATAATTAATCCTGTTTTAAGCACACAAAAATTAGCAGGTTTACAGCTTATGAACTTTTTATTAACTTATAAACAGTGTAAAGAAAAGTATATTTGCAGGTATTCCAATAATATTATTATTTCCAAATAAATCTTTGACTATAACATGAATCCTAAGATAAACTAAAGTAGCTTACTGAAGTACAATTTTTATCACTGCCTCCCCTTGTTCTACATTCTACATAAACACTGCAAGACTTATCCAGAATTGCAGGAGGAGAGAATAGAAAGTTCAAGTCATGAATTTAGTACAATTTTACATGTATTTACTCAGAAGCAGCATGGAGTTCAGCAGGGCTTACTCCTGTGTAAATAGATTAAATACTGATGCCATCACATACATGCACTGTGTGGTCATATACAAAACGTTTGTCATAAAAAATGCACTGTAAAGATGGCAAAAGTAATGTCTCCTCCTGGTGGAGCTTTACTTTCAGTCACTATGTAGTTACTTCCATGTTTTCTTGGCCACAAAACAGAAGTGATTTGGTATTGCCACCTTCTGCAGCTTTTTTTTTTCAACTGCCCAGTCTAATCTATAACCATAGGATTTCCAGATGGTTTCCTATCCAACGACTAGACTTCACCGCATTTGAGATCAGCCAAAGGTGGTGAGATGCTGCCCCCTACTGTGGTGAATTGTCATTGTGCAATCTTATATCCGTGCTGTACTAATGGGAATGTTCAAACTGATTGAGCTAGTGTGGGAACTGACAGGGTATAAAGCTCCTCAAATCAACTGGGTCCAAAAGGGACTTCTTTGAAGTCATGGGGAGCAGCTCCTTCTCTCAAGGAAATATTTTCAGCCTTCCCCATCCAACTGGTCAGTCTTCTTATAGCAATCTAACTAGTCAAGGATGGATATGGATCAAGTACCTAGTAGTAGTCTCACTTCTGAGAAACTTATCCACATTCTAAGGCTGAATTAACTGAATGGTATTTAAAACACACACACGTACACACAGAAACCATAGCTGAACCCAGACTCATCTGTTTCTTTAAGATACCATGGCATCAAGATAGCAGCAATCTCCTGATTTTGAACTATCAGAACTAAATTTCCCAAATGGAATTCAAGAGAAATGTAGGTAAAGAAAAATATGATGGAGAGGTATCACAAAGTTAGACATCTAGAGTTAAAGGGATCACAGTTAGACATTCAGGACATACAATTAAGCATTGGTAAATAGACTTACTTGTTCTCCTGTTGCAACACCAATCCCCAGTGGTGCTAACGCCTAAAAGAAGAATACTTTGTGACATACCACAGGCTTTTAAGTTTTTTCAAATACAGTTATTCACAATGAATAAACAAAATGCAGTATTTCTGTAGTTTGTCCATATTATACAATTAGAAGAAACTTGAAAGTATCAATAAAACTGCTAGCATGATAATCAAATTTTGTTTTGCTTTGGAGTAAATCAACTAGATGTGAAAGATTACATAAGAGAAAGCATGTGACCATAAAGAATGCACTTAGGTCATAACTGAGTACAATATGTACATTAATCCAGCATGAAATCAATAGATTATTCAGTACTGCGTTTCTACCATGGTGCATACATAAGCCTCCTGATACTCTAATGAAGTTTGAATATATATATTTGTTTTGCACAAAATTGGGACTTTAGCCCAAATATATTAAAAATACATGATTTACAGGCATTTCAGGACCATTGCTGATTGGCCAGCTCATGTGAGAAAATACATTTCTGCCTTTTATTATGGTCTAAGAAATATGACACTCATTTAAATTTAATGGAATACATGTTGAGTATGTGAAAGGATCTCTTACCAGGCATATTTTAATGACTTTTGCTAGAATACTGAATGTTCCAATGCAGATCTCCAGCCAATAATTCATCATACCTTTCTGGTGGATAGCAACTCTACCAACTAACTGAAAGGGAAAACAATGCCTCTCACCTTAGCAATTGTTGCATGACCAAGAATATCATCAGGAGAAGTTGGTTCCTCAATCCATAGCGGTCTGAACTCAGCTAGTCTAGTGACCCACTCTATGGCTTCTTCCACTTCCCATCTTTGGTTAGCATCCAACATCTATGAATAAATACAGACTGAACTCAGTATGATGCTGTTGATTGTTACTGTAACCATAACATTAATTTAAGACAGATGTAATATGACATGGGCTTAATACAAGCTTTTTCTATAACACAGCCCAGTTTCCTACTGCTTAGATGCTCAGTCTCCTAAATGACATAATATCTGCTGGCTAATATTATTGAAAGTTTATTATGATAAAGTGTTACTTAAAAAAAAAAAAACTAGGTCACATTTAGCAAGCATGCTGAGACTAAAATCAAATTCCCACACATCCTACTTTAGGAATAAGCCCTAAAATACTTAGGGCGCTGAAATGCTGGAGAGATGATTAGTCTGCTTCTAGTAAGGATTCTTCCATAAGATTAACAGCAGTAAACCAAATTTTATAATATAACCTCTTTGGCATTGTACCAACGTACATACATACCAGTTTATTTTCAGCACCAATCATTTCTCTAACAA